AAATGGAAAGGGAAAAAATCAGCAGCAGTAAAAAAATATTTCCCCTTTTAGAGTGAGAGTGGGCTTCTTGCTGGAGTGAGTAGAAGCCCATTCTACGTCTGGACACATCAGGGTTATACTTTGCCACTGGAGATACCATGGAGCAAAGGCTAGTTCTGTGTTGGTGTGAGGAGGAAAACCTGGCATGCAAGGAACACACACCTATCTTTAAAGCAGAATCACACTTCTAAGATGTTTCGGGGACTGTGATTCCACTTCATCACAAGTTGAGTCCTCCCCATACTCCTCCGGATCAAAGCCAAATCTGGGGCATCACATTTCAGCAGAACCTCTTAAGGAAGCCTTAGCTTCTGAAGTTCAAAACAGGGAGCCCCAGAGCCATTACCTGCTCACCTCTGCACAAGAGGGAAATGCTCTCACCTGTGGCTCTTTCTGCTCCCTCTCTGCCTCTGCTTGACACAGTAAGAAACCCTCTGCCAGGGCCACCGCCTGGGAACAGGTCTCTGCCCCACATTCCCTGACCCACTTCTCCATCTCCGTGGGCAGGATGGTCAGGAACTGTTCCAAGATCACCAGGTCCAGGATCTCAGTTTTTGTGTGGCGCTCTGGTTTCAGCCACTGATGGCAGAGATGGTGGAGCTGGCTGCAAACTTCTCGGGGACCCTCACCCAAGTTGTAGGAGAACTGCCTGAAGTTTTGGCATTGTATCTCTGAGTTGGCAAGGTCCCCACTCAGGAACCCCTGGTCTGTCTTCTCACAGAATTCCTCACTCCTTTCAGCACTGAATCTGCCAGGGCCTCTTCCTCCTTGTAGACCAGCTAGATCTGGTATATTCATCTTTGTTTCTTATGCCAATGAAGCCATAAGTAGGATCCAAGTTATTGCTCCTCCTTCCGTCTCCAGACATGTACGTCCCTAAGCCGTTCTGCTGCAACACCCTGTAAAACCAAGACATTCTTGTGTTATTACCTGGTGGCTCAGTGGTTAAATGCCTGTATTGCAACCACTCATAGACACAAGGTTGTGAGTTCAATCCCAGGAGCCCCAAGGTCCACTCAGCCTTACATCCTTCTGCAGGTCGATAAAATGAGTAGCCAGCTTGTTGGGATTAGTTAGCTTACACATTGTAAACCACTTAAGGAGTGCTTAGTTCACTGATAAGCGGTATTGAAATGTACTTGCTATTGCTACTGCTATTACTACTGATGTTATCAGGTATTTATAGGGCACCACCAATGTACACTGTTGTGTTAAGAAGTATTATACTGGTATGGGTACCAGAAAGGTACTATATCCTGTTTGATGTTGGAAGATAAGCAGAGTCAGCTGGCTAGCATTTGAGTAAGAGACCACCAAGAAATCCCAGTTGCTGTAGGCTATATTTCAGAAGAAAGAACCAGCAAAACCAGAGGTCTATGGGTGGAGATGATTAATACTCCCAAACTGTCATGGAGAGATAATTTTCTGGTCAGAGTTAGTACCACAGCTATTATATGCCCTGCACCTGCAGCAAACCTACGAAGATAGTTTGCACTTAAAAGTTAATGGATACCACTAGGTGCCATTCTATCCCCAATGCCATTTAACATCTACATGAAACTGCTAAGAGAAATCATCAGGAGGCATGGGGTGGGGTGCTATCAGTATGATATCCAAGAAGATGTAAGATCCTTGTCCTGGTGTGACTAATAAGCCAATTTTGCACACAGGAGGGAAGAGAATCAAAAGATTTATGTAGCTGCAGTAAACTGGTGCTGGTAGTCTTGCGACTCAAAAGACTGACAGCAAGGAAAGAAACAAACATTCATACTTATATACTTTTCCATATGATAATTGCAGAACTTCCTATCTCTACGTAGGTACAGTGTCACTACTTAGCATTTCTAGAGCATGCGTACTAAACAGGTCCTGGACTACCATCCCATGATGATCCTGCACTGCTCAGCAAGGATTGCCTCCTGCATGGAGCTCATCATAACCCTCCATCAAAATTTCAACAGGCAGAGACAAGCATACATTTTCATTCTATTCTATTAGCATACTATTTTATATTGATGTCTCATACTGGTTTCTCTTACTGGTTTGCCATATTCTTCCACTATGCAATGTCAAGAATGCTGATGACACCCCAAATATACTTCTCTACGCCTTCAGTGTTAGTATCAGCTAAGGACAGTGTGTCTCCTCTGAATGAATGCCTGGAGGAGGTAATGGAATGGATGAGGAATTATTATTATTGTTATTGTTATTGTTATTATTACAAACTGAAAATGAATCCAGACAAGACAGAGGTTCCTTACTGTCAAGGGTCCTACCATGGGTTTGGAGGCATGTCAACTAGACCTGGATGGAGCTACACCCCCCTTGAAAGACTGTATTTACATCTTGGGGGTGCCCCTGGATCCATCACAGAGCAAGCTTGTTTTCTGCTGCTCCAGAGACTAGAACCTGGAGCAATGGATGCAAACTATAGGAAAAGAGATTCCATTTCAACATTAGGAGGAACTTCCTGACAGTATGAGCTGTGCAACCGATGAAGTCACTGCTTTGGTGTGGTGGAGTCTCCTTCTTTGGAGGTTTTTAAACAGAGTCTGGATGGCCATCTGTTGGGGTACTTTGACTGTGTATTCCTGCATGGCAGGGATTGGAGTGGATGGCCCTTGTGGTCTCTTCCAACTCTCTGATTGTAGAATCATAGAATCAAAGAGTTGGAAGAGACCACAAAGGCCATCCAGTCCAACGCCATTCTGCCATGCAGGAACTCACAATCAAAGCATCCCCGGTAGATGGCCATCCAGACTCTGTTTAAAAACCTCCAAAGAAGGAGACTCCACCACACCAAAGCAGTGACTTCATCTGTTGCACAGCTCTTACTGTCAGGAAGTTCCTGCTAATGTTTAGGTGGAATCTCTTTTCCTGTGGCTTGCATCCATTGTTCCGGGTCCTATTCTCTGAAGTAACAGCAAACAAGCTTGCTCCATCCTCAATATGATACCCCTACAAATATTTAAAAAGGCCTATCATGTCACCTCTTAACCTTTTCTTCTCCAAGCTAAACATACCAAGCTTCCTAAGTCGATCTTCATAAGATATGGTTTTCAGACCCTTCACCATTTTAGTTGCCCTCCTTTGGATACGCTCCAGCTTGTCAACATCCTTTTTGAATTGTGGTGCCAAGAACTGGACACAGTATTCCAGATGAGGCTTGACCAAAGCAGAATATAGGGGCACTATTACTTTCCTTGTTCTAGACACTACACTTCTATTGATGCAGCCTAGAATCGCATTGGCCTTTTTAGCTGCTGCATCACACTGTTGACTCATGTTCAACTTGTGATCTACTAGGACTCCTAGATCCCTTTCACACGTATTCTTTTGGTAATATCCTTGATAATTTGTAGTAGTCTCATTAAGCCAGGTGTCCCCTATTCCATATCTATGCATTTCATTTTACTCCAAAAGACAGCCCAGATAGATGAGACGGTCAGGAGTGTTTGTTATCAGCTTTAGTTGTTATGCCTGCTGCACCCCTTCCTAGACTTAGAGGACTAAAGATGGGAGTTCACACACTGGTAACCTCAAAGCTGGAGTTCTTCAAAGCTCTGTACATTGGGATACCTCTGTTCAAAGTTCAGAAACGTCAGTTAGTTTACAACAGGGGTAGGCAACCTTTCTCCTTTAAGGGCCGAGGGACTTCATCTCCCAGAATCCCAGGAGCTATGGGCCAACATGAGACTATTGGCCAACATGGCTGAGGCTTCTGGGAGCTTATGTCCCTTGGCCCTTAAAGGGGAAAGGTTGCCTACCCCTGATCTATATCTCTGTGTGTGTGTGAGTGTGTTTATCTTTTATTTTGAAAACCTGGAAGCACCTGTGTGTCTGCAGCCAGATTGGTCACTGTTACACAGGGGTAGGCAACCTTTCCCCTTTAAAGGCCGAGGGACTTCAGCTCCCAGAAGCCTCAGCCATGTTGGCCAATAGTCCCATGTTTGCCAATAGCTCCTGGGATTCTGGGAGTTGAAGTCCCTTGGCCCTTAAAGGGGAAAGGTTGCCTACCCCTGCTGTTACATCTGAGAATGACCATATTACATGAATATTAAAATCACTCCACTGGCTGCCAGTTAGTTTCTGGGCAAACTATAAAGCCCTAGTGGCGCAGTGGTTAAATGCCTGTACTGCAGCCACTCACTCATAGACCACAAGGTTGCGAGTTCAATACTAGCCAGGGCTCAGGCTAGACTCAGGCCTCCATCCTTCTGAGGTCACTACAATGAGTACCAGCTGTTGGGGGGCAATGAGCTTATAGTTGTAAACCACTTAGACATCCCATAGCACGATATGAAGCAGTATATAAATGAAGCTGCTTGCTTTGCTAAAGTATTGGTTATGACCTTTAAAGAGCCCTACATGTCTTGGGCCCAGGTTATCTACATGATTGCTTTCTCCCATAAAATCTGTCCAATATTGATATATGTACTGGTGTTTTTAACTTGTGTAAGCCACCCCAATTGCACTGGAGAGGGGAGGGATAAAAATAAATTATTATTATTATTATTATTATTAATATACTCAGATCTTCTGTGAAGCACCTACTTCAATTAGCCAAAACTAGGCTGATGGTTACCAAGAGGATATTTTCTTTGGCTGTGAAATGACCTGCCAGGAGAGATTCATCAGGTGGAGATGGTGTCTGTATTTAAATTGGCTGTAAAGACCAGTCTCTTACAACAGGCCTATTCAGATTATTTTTAAATTACGGTTTTTAAAGTATTTATTGAATATTTTAATATGTATGGGTTCTATATTCTTTTTTTTATTAATGTTACATTATGTTATGTTTAACTGATGTTGTTTGTTAACTGTTGTTGTCCGCCGCCTCGATCTATGGGGAGAGGCAGGTAGGAATATTATTATGTGTTATTCATTGGTCCTCACTTTGATCCACAGGGAGAGGTGGGTAAGAAATAAATATTATATTATTAGTATTATTATTCCAGAGAGCCAGAAGAGCATAGTGGTTTGGGTGTTCGAATGGGACTCTGGAGACCAGGGTTCGATTCCCAGCTTGGTCATGAAACCCACTGGGTGACCTTGGGCAAGTCACACTCTCTCAGCCTCAGAGGAAGGCAATGGCAAACCTCCTTGGAACAAATCTTGTGATAGGTTCACCTTAGGGTCGCCATATGTCGGAAGTGACTTGAAGGTACACAACAACAAAGGTACACAATAACAAGACACATTATTATTATTATTATTCCCACCAACTGTCTTTACTTGGGAGAGTCCCAGTTAATCCTCTGCCATCCCACTTTTTCAGCCATGTCCCATTTTCCTTATTCCCATTTCCCTCCTTTGTCTTCAGCTGACTTCAGTTGATGCAAAGTGAGTTCAGCGAGCAGAAATACTTCCCACTCTACTGGAGGAGAGACAAGGGCTTTGTGTGTGTGTATCTGCGTGAGAAACCTTACCTTTCCCAGTAGGCTCAGGCAAAAGCAAACTGCTGCAGCCTCTCTCAGCTTGGGTCCTCTTCCCCATCCTTAACTCCCGCCCTTTGGCCACACTCTAACCTTGCTTGGCCACAGCTGGGAAACGTTGAATATGGCCAGTCAGTTCAGCTTCTGTGGGAGGAACTGGAGGAGAGAGAACTCTACTGCTCTGGAGGACTGGGCGCCCCCTTCTGTCCTCTCTAGTCTGCCTCTACTGCTCTGGAGGACTGGGCACTTCCTCTCTAGGAATCATAATCTCTTTCCCCTTAACCCTTCCTTCACCCGCTCAGCTGCAGGTTGTGGGCTGGAAACCTGTCCCTGGATGCTAAATAATAATAATAATAATAATAATAATAATAATAATAATAATAATAATAATAATAATAATAATAATAATAATAATATATCCCACCCTTTAGAAAACGAATAATAATAACAATAACAACAACAACATCATCATCATCATCCCTATTTTTGATACTGGGCCTTTCCTAAACTCAGAAACGTTTGAATCCTATGAATGCACCTATGGTCCAAAACACACACTGCAGAAATAATCCAATTTGAGACCGCTTTAACTGTCCTGGTTCAGTGCTAGGGAATCTTGGGAATTGTAGTTTATTGTAACACTAGAGCTCCCTGACAGAGAAAGCTTAATGTCTCACCAAACTACATTTCCCAGAATTCTATAGCGTTGAGCCAGAGCAGTTAAAGCAGTCTCAAACTGGGTTATTTCTGTAGTGTGTTTTCGGCCTATGTGAAAGGGGTCTAGGGCTTCCTCCACAAGTCAGAAATAATAGTTTGGCACTGCTTTAATTGCCATGGTTCCATGCTGTGGAATTCTGGGAATTGTAGTTTGTTGTGACACCAGAGCAAAGCAGAGCCACAATAAACTACTATTTCCAGAATTCCATAACATGGAGCCATGGCAGTTAAAGCAGTGTCAAACCGGATTATTGCTGCAGTGTGGATATAACCTCTGATTCCTAGTAGACCACAACTTGAACATGAGACAACAGTGTGATGCGGCAGCTTAAAAGGCCAATGTGAATCTAAGCTGCATCAATAGAAGCATAGTGGTAGGCAACCTTTCCCCTTTAAG